TAGAAGAAAACCTAATAAAAGTCATATTCAGTGCTACATTTGTCAAAAGTATGGCCATTATGCAAGTCAATGTCAAGGAGGTCAGAAAGATCAAGAAAGTGATACAAAGCTTGAAATGTAATTTATTAAGTATAGGTCAGTTGATCGAGAGGAATTACAAAGTATTTATCAAAGATAGAATGATGAAAGTGATCAACTTGAGAAATAGGTTAATCTTGAAGGCTCCTATTTCTCAAAATATAACCTTCAAGATTTAACTCGATGTGTTGGAACATAAGTGCCTGGCAACTGCAGCTAGCACAGATGAATGGTTATGGCATTATAGACTTGATCACTTGAATATCAATGACATTATTAATACGAAGAGGAAGAACATGGTTTCAGGTACCATAAATCTATATTCTAGAAAAAGTATGTGAATAATGTGTTCAAGCAAAGAAACATAAGAATAACTTTAGCAAAGATGCAAGAAGCAAGTCAAAATCCACTCTCAACATAATTTACTCAGGCGTGTGTAGTTCTCTCCGGGTAGATTCACTTGGAGGTAACAAGTACTTTGTTACATTTATTGACGATTACATCATAACGCTGTGAACCTACTTAATAAAAAAGAAAAGTAATGTGATCGATGTTTTCACCAAGTTCAAAGTAATGATCGAAAGACAGAGTGGTAACAAAATTAAGGTTCTGAAGACAAATGAAGGTAGAGAGTACGTGTCAAAATACTTTGAAACGCTATGCACAAAATAAGGAATTATGAATGAGGTGGTGCCACCATACACTCCTCAATAAAATGGTATTACTGAAAGAAAGGACATAACCATTGTGCATATGGTGAGAAATATGTTGAAAGGAAAGCATCTCCCAAATGATTTATGGGGCGAGGCTACGTCGACTACAACATACACACTAAACAGATGTCCGATAAAGAAGTTTGAAGGTATTACACCAGAAGGATGTTGGTCTGGTGTTAAACCTAGTTTAATCCACTTGAAGGTGTTTAGATCCATAACACATAGACATGTGGCAAATCAGCTGAGAAGAAAGTTGGATGATAATTCGATCCAGATCATCCTGGTGGGATATCATTCGATTGGTTGATACAAATTGTTCGACCCAGTGGAAAAGCAAGTCGTGGTCAACAAGGATGTGATCGTAATGAGCTCGGGGAGTGGAATTAGACTAAGAACATCAAAAATGATTCAATGAGAATTATGTGTGAGTACCAACTAGTGAAGCTGTTAGAGAAGTTTGACAAGAAACTGCCAAAGGTTAAGCAGGCACAAGCAGACCTCAGAGAACCAGAAATATGCCTATAAGACTTTAGGAATGTGTAATCATATCAGATTGTGTGGTCGATGATGAATGTGAATTAGTTCACTATGCCTTCTATGAAGATATAGATGCAGTTGATGCAGTTGAAGCATTGAAAGACTCAAGGTGGATGAAAGCTATGGTGGATGAGATGAAATCCATAGAAGACAATGATACTTGGTCACTGGTCGAATTTCCAAAAGTGAATAAAGCAATTTATGTGAAATTGGTATATAAAGTCAAGCTAAATCCAAGAGGTGAAGTAATTCGACATAAGGCAAGACTTGTAGCAAAAGGGTTTCTTCAGAAAGAAGGAGTCGACTATGATGAAGTCTTTGCGCCAATATCTATAATCAAAGCAATTAGGTTGGTTATTGGTTTAGCCAATATGAATAATTGATCGATGTGTCAGATGGTGGGAAATGTGAAATCTTGAATGGTCCTCTAGACGAAAAGGTGCATGTGACATAACCAGTTGGTTTTGTGAACACAAGACCGGGAAAGGAAAGTATACAAGCTGCATAAAGCCATGTATTGACTGAAACAAGCTCCAAGAGCTTGGAACAAGAAAATAAACGACTTTCTAAGAGAGAAAGAGTTTGAGAAGTGCAAGACAGATCATGGTGTGTATGTCATGAGAAGCATAAGTGAGTTGCTTATACTATGTCTCTATGTCGACGATTTGTTGATAACAGACAGTTGCAAAAAGGAGATAGAAGATTTCAAACATGACTTAAGTAAGGATTTTGAAATGTCGGACTTGGGAAATCTCTTATACTTCCTTGGTATCGAATTCTACAAAAGTAGTAAAGGCTTGATGATCCACCAAAGAAGACATGCAGGCGAAATACTCAAGAGATTTGAGATGCAAGATTGCAACCTAACTTCGTCTACAGCTGAGCCCAAATTACAACTCATAAAAGATTTGATCGAAGATGATGTCAATCCAACGCAGTACAGAAGACTCATTGAATCACTTAGATACCTCTCTCACACATGGCCATATTTATCCTATTGTGTGGCATGGTCAACAGATTCATGCAGAAGCCGATGGAATCTCATCTTGCAGCCACCAAGAGGATACCAAGGTATCTCAAAAGAACACTTGACTACGGTATTTTGTTTCCTTCAGTCGATGAAGGAAAAGAATGTAAGCTTGTGGGCTACACTGAATCTAGTTGGTATGGTGATGCTGAAGATTGAAAATCAACTGCAGGATATGTGTTCATGTTAGGTGGTGTGACAATCACATGGAGTTCGAGAAAGGAACTGGTGGTAGCCTTATCATCATGTGAGGCTGAATACATAGCATTTTTGTTATGTGCATGCCAAGCAGCATGGATGATGAATCTAGTCGAAGAAATTACATGGAAGAATCATGGAGCAATGACCATGAAGATCGACAGCATGTTAACTATCAACCTGACGAAGAATCTGATAGCACACAGAAGAAGCAAACACATTGAAATGAGGTTCCATTACCCGAGATAGCAGGTAACGAATGGAAAGTTTACCCTGGAGCATTGCAGATCCGAGAATCAGATTGCAGATATAACGACGAAGGTTGTGGTAGTCGAATTGTTCAAAAGATTAAAAACAATGATGAATGTAGATAACTTAGAAACAATGAATTCGGTGGTGTGTTAAATATATAATTCTTTGTGTCAAAGTCGAAATAACGTGTTTGTATTTGACGAGTGTCGAAGGTGTTTTAGTTTGTGTCCAACATAAAATACACATTAAAGAGAATCAAGATAAAGATATAAATTTAAAAGATAATCAAGTGAATATTTATTTTAGAATGAAGAGAATGTCTAAAAGTGAAATTATTGTTTTTTATCAATATAATATATTTTGAAAAGTAGTTTATGTTTATTTTTTTAGTGAAAAGAATCTATATAGGTGATATTATTTGTTTTATTTTTAAAGTGATATTGTTTTGTTTATTTCGAATCAATACAATTCCTTTTAAAAAATATTTTGTTTTTATATTTGTTTTTGTTTTCTCATTTACGGCATTGAATTGAATATGAACATTCCGTTTGACATTTTCAACTCAAGTTTTTTTTTCTTGAGATATTTCAAGTTATTGACATAATTTGTTTATTCAAAACCTCTGAATCACTTATTTTCCATTTTTACCTTTTCTTCATTCTTAACTATTCATCTACGTATAAGATATTTAACTAGAGGGTATTATAATAAATAATTTCATTTTTAAAAAATGAAAATGAAAATGAAGCTCATTTCTCAAAATTTTCTAACTAATTATTCACTCCCATGTGGTCCACCAAATTGTGGAAGTCCACTCACACGCTTCAACAGAATTAGAAGAAAATGAAAGTCATGTAATGTTTTAGTCTTAAAGTTAATCAAAGAAATTGCATAACTAATTATGAAAATATTTTTAAAATTAAAAATATACATATTTACAACTAATTCCATAAATATAAGAGCATTTGAATTTAAGACGGAAAAATAGAATCTCTTTTAATTTTAGAGATTTATCATATTAATTCAAATTAAAAGATGGTAAATAATCTCTTTTAAATTTATGAGTATTTATTGGTTCACGTAAATCTAAATTAAACTAAAATTTAAATTAAATTATAGTGTTTAGATGGAATATTTTTTAATTTAGACAAAAATTGAAGCAAATTAATGAAATTCAATTTTAATTGGTTCAAAGAACTAATTTTTAATTTTAACGGAAAATTCGTCTTCTCGAATCAAATATATTAATTTATATCATCATTATTATATAAATTAATATAAAATATTTATTTAAAAAAAATTAAACGTTATTTGTGATACTCATAATTTATATGAAAAAAATGAAAAAATTAAAAAAAGATTATATCATTATAAAAAATTATTTGATGTTAATTAGATGTTTTTTATAAATATTTTGTAATTTTTGTTTTTAATGTATCGATCAAACCAACTCATTATTTTTCTGATTAATTCGGTTTGTGTTTTATCAAAAAAAAATAGGAAAGTTGAATCCAAACCAATGCATTCATCAGTTTGAGTATTTTCAAAATCGAACCAAACTGACTCAAACGCCCTAATTAAGTCAGTTTAATTGATAGCTCTGCAGAGACCACGAATACAAATTTGAACCTACGATATCTTATTTCTTCTTCTTTAAAATGTTAATTTTGACCACTAAAATATTCAGAAAAGAAAATAATAAATGATGAAACCATTGACTTTTTTTTATGACGCAACTTATTTTGACCACATCATAGTTTAAGTTACAATAAAGCACTTTTTTTTAACAAACGTTACAATAAAGCACTTAAACAATTTAATCAGCAACTAAACAAATACACCACTAAGCAAGTTGGAGAAAGTTTTGAGATTTGATTAATTAAAATCGAATCGAATCAAATCCCACACGTTTTCTCTAAAATGATTTTCTCTTGTCTGTTTATTACAATTGTTCTATAAATAGTGACCCAAAACCATTCTAATTCTTATCCAACAACTCACCATTTTATTCATTTCTTATTCCTAATCTTCATGCAATTATTTCTCATACTCATATAAAGACTCTCTCTTCCTCACCTTTTTCCTTCCAAACTCTCTTTTTTATTGTTACAAAAATACATCTATATTCTAAAACCATAAATAAATCATTACAAAAAAACTTCAAAACCTCATCCTCGATTATCTTCTTCTTCATGGTATATTTTTCTTCCTCTCTCTCATTCTATGATTTTATTGTTTTCGTAATTATTTATCTTAGTTTTTTTTAATTTAACATTTGCAGGCGAAAGAAATTGAAATCAATTACGAAGAAGAATATGTATTGAATTCTCGAGGAATGAAACTGCTAGCAACGAAATGGATTCCTGCAAATGAAAATCCAAAAGCATTGATTTTCATGTGTCATGGATATGCCATGGAATGCAGCATCACCATGAACAGTAATTTAACTATTTTCATCTTTATTCTTTAAATATATGAAATGATTGTTAATTAATTAATTAATTAATTGTGATTATGATTGTGATTATGATTGTGATTAATTAATTAACAGGCACAGCAAGAAGATTTGTAAAAGGTGGATATGCAGTTTATGGAATAGATTATGAAGGACATGGAAAATCAGATGGATTAGCTGGTCTTGTTATGAATTTTGATCATGTCATTGATGATTGTTTCAATCATTTCAGCAAAATATGTGGTTAATATTTTCTCTCTCCCATTCAATTCTATTTTATTTTGTCAGTGTTGATTTTGAAATAATTTGATGTATATAATAACAGAAAAGGGTGAGAATAAGAAGAAGATGAGATATTTGTTAGGAGAATCAATGGGAGGAGCTGTGGCTGTGCTTTTGCACTGGAAAAAGCCAGATTATTGGGATGGTGCTATTTTGTCAGCACCCATGTGCAAGGTTTCTTTTTATTTTATATACTTAACTTGATTTAATTATCAGATATATTCAACGATAAATGAATTTAGTTTACTTCATATAAATTAATTATTTAATAAATTTTTAAAAAAAAATTTATAAATAGAATTGGAATTAATATTGGAATAGTATAATGCACACCATATACATACTAATTATTATTTTTATTTTTTTTAATTTTGATTATAAGAAAACACAATTTCTGCAACCGTGTCTGCATGTTTGTTTTTATTTGGCCACACATGTTTGTTGTTCCTTGTATGCATATGCATAATACAGCACCCCTCAAATACTAAGTCAAATATCTCATTGGAACTAAACATCTTAATTAATCACATATTTTCAGCTTCTTTTTTTAAATAACTTCTTAGTAAAAATAATTTCTATACTTTATAAAAAATTATTTTACTTTATTTGTATTTTTTTGATACACTGTATCGTTTAAAATATATAAATTGTAGTCAAATAATGTGGGCAATATAATTATTGTTATTGATTGATTGCATATTAACATAATAACCAAAATATCTTTTAATTAATATATATTTATTTTTCAGTAAACTTTCTTTATATAAAAAATTAAATAACAATAAATTAAAAAATTCACTTTTACAAAAAGAAATACAATATTTTTAGAATTTAATTACTATTACTATTTTTTTATCTGAAATTAACTTAATTAAACAAGTTTAACCATTTTTTAATATAAAACTACCATTCCTTATTAGATTACGTTTTGTTGTTTTTTATTTATTCCTTATGAGAGATATATATTAGGAAAATAATTGATAATAACTATTTTACTTTATTTTTTATTGGTAGACAAAATAGTAAACTACGAAAAATGAATACATTTTGAATTGGAATTGTAGTGTTGAATCTAGAAACATTGATATTAGACTAAAATTTTCAAACTTGTGTAATTATTTTTATTGAAAAACAAGCAAATACAAAGTCAGATGAATGTGACAATAAAAACTATATATTAGTATTAATTTTAGTTGATTCGTTAAAGCAAAATAATTGAATGATGACTGACCCATAAGAATATATCATTTTTGGGACCTACCTATAAACTATAGTACTAATCTATGATAAATTAATAATAATAATAAGTCCTCTGACTTTTTGGCCTAGAGTGCTCCTTAATTTAATTATCTTATTAATCATATTTTTATTACCCTAAAGTCTAAACTATTGCTATAGTTGCCCCCAAATCACATTCACATCACAAATACAAAGACTTTTACTTTTCCATGAAAGTGACTTATTCATATATGCATATATTTGAAATTTTTGTTACCATCATTAAGCATACTAATTATTGCATTCACATGTCATATGTGAAAGTGTTTACAACTTGTATTATCAAAAATATTAATCATATAATTTTTCTTAAGTTATTAATTTATAGATATTAATATATAAATATAAACAAATATTGTTGTCATAGATTTTGAACCCTAATCAGACCATAATTTATACAGATTGCAGATGATATAAAACCGAATGCATTCATGATTCCTATATTCAGTGCACTAAGTAAACTCGCTCCCACTTGGCAAATAATCCCAACCGAAGATATTATTGATATTGCTTTTAAAGTTCCTGAAGTCAGAAAACAGGTATATAAACATATAAATATATATAAATTATTAATATATGTTCATTGTTAATATATTTATTTACACATGCAAGAAAATATATATTGAAAAAAAGATTATTATTTATGATTTTGTAGATAAAAGCTAATAAGTATTGCTTTAAGGGAAAACCACGTTTGAGAACCGGTTATGAGCTTAATAGAGTTGCTACAGAAATTGAAGAAAGATTGCATGAAGTTTCATTGCCATTTTTGATATTGCATGGTGAAGCAGATAGAGTTACTGATATATCAGTGAGTAAAGAGTTATATGAAGTGGCTTCAAGCTCTGATAAGACATTGAAATTGTACCCTAAAATGTGGCATGGTTTGTTGTATGGAGAGCCAGCAGAAAATTTGGAGATTGTTTTTTCAGATATTTTTAGTTGGATAGAGGAGAGAACTAAGTATGGTAATACAAGAATCGAGAGAGAATTGAAAAATGAAAATGAAGATTCATCGAGAGGAAATAACTCTTGTTGTTAATAGATCGAGTTGGTTTTATTTTTAATTTGTTTTGTATTATCTTACGATGTAAGGTGTCGATTTTTTATCTATTTAAATAAAATATTTATTGAAATGCAATTTCTCAATATTGTAAATTTTTTTTATTTGGTATCACGAGCTCTTGATTTTAAAGATATAAAATCCACGTAAATCGTAAAACCTATAGTTGCCGTAAATCCTATGTTATAATAATAAATCCAAGAAACATTATCTTTGTGTTTGTAATGACTAAAAGAGAAAAATATTCTACACCATTTGGAATTCTTAGAGATGAGTGTCAAAATGTGTTTCTTTTCTTAGAGATGAGTCTGATTTTTCATCTTCTACCATTTAAATTTGGCTTCAACATATGCGTTTAAGGAACCTTCCTTTTCATATAGTTGAATCTATGTTTTCATGAAAATGTGAAATGCTTTACTGGTTAACTCTGAGGAGAATGTTAACGAAGTCGATTTTGAGTTCGAATTTTTCATGTTCGATCCAGCTCCTCTAATGTCACCTACTTTTAGTCATATTTCAGACTCAACCTTTGAACCTGAGTCTACTTTTGTTATATGTTTTTGCATGAATCAATATATTTGATATCAATTATAATATCATTGGAATAAAATGGATATGTAGTTTTTGAAGAAAAATAAAAATAGATCATGAATCAAATAATACAATTATTTTTGGTGACTTTAAAAAAACTAATCAAATTATTATGAACAGTGGTAAGAACTAGCTAATCGTATACATGGTAATCAATTCAAAAACAATCCCAATCAATCAATATCAGAAACCAATCTCCAATCGACTTCACTGATTAACGGATAAAAGAAGAAAATTTCCACACACCGTTGGTGATAAATGACTTAAAGCGACTAGTTGAATTGAAAGCTTTCAACTTATTATATAATTGCTCAAGTACATATTGCGTGCAAGTATGAAAAACTGTTGAGAGAATCTAAACATCTCACTGAGAGGTTAGATTGAGAGAGATGGGTTGCTTATCACATCCAAGAAGCATGAAATTAACAGTTAATTATCATTAATTACAACATATATTGCCAACTGCGGCTTATGTGTTTCACTTCAACAAGCCACACTACAAATGCAGAGTACAGAGAGTCATAATATGATAAATAAATCCACAGCTTCCACCTTCCCGTATTGAATGAAAAACACGGGCTTTCTTCACTTTGTTAGTGACTCTAACGTTGGCCAAACAACCTACTCAAATAACATGATTCCGCCGATTCCGTCAATACCTGAAATACAGAATCACAGATAAAGTATTCGTCAAATCAAAATTATTGGCTTCTTCATCTATAAGTATTGCTCACGACCCAATAAATCGTAATAGTACTATAGAGAGTAACTCAACAGAAATAGGGATCATACCTCTCTCTATCATCATTCTTAAATAATCTTGTTTCGTACTTCTTCGAGTTTCTTCAGAATTTCTCCAGGGGTCCTGTCCAATTCATCAGCAATTTTTCGCTGCAAATCCATTGGCAATGTTGGGTATTGCTCACATAGGTCCCCATCAATAACATCCTACATAGATACATTCATACTAAGGGTTAAAATACACTTATAAACAAAATTAAACATTTGAACGTGTCAAGATTTTCGCCAGAAGCATATATAATAAATCCTAAGCTAACCCAACCATGAAAATATTGATGGCAAACAGTACATTGTAATAATAACAGAAAGAATCTGCGGTGTAATATAGATTAGGTATACCTTAACAGGAAAATAGGCAGATCTATACGCCATGTGGTCTCTTCCGCACAAAGGTGGATTATCTTGCCTCATATGCATCTCCAAATGGGAAAAGAAATCAACATCATCTCGTGAAGTAAACGCGTGTAATGCCCCAATACTTCCCATAACAGTTCCATATAAAATGCATTCTCCACCACCTGGTATAAGAGAGGCCTTTTGCAGGCATGTGATCACATCGCCAACATGAAATTGTACAATTTCTTCCACCTTATTGGGAGCTCCATTCAGCTTCCCCTGCTCCCACTTGATCCTCCCGCCAGTAGGATCTTCTTCTATCTCATCAGATACGTCTTGCGGCAACCGCACGAAATAGATATTTCCAAACTTGTCCGCACCAGCCATGGTGTCAAAATCTATGTGGTATGATGCCGTAAGCCATCTCGGGACACAATCATCAGCAAATATGTAAAGTTGGTTTTCATCCCGTCTATACTTGCAGTAATGAAAAGACTGGAGAATACAGAAAACACAATTAGATGAAGATCTTATAAGTGAAACAGAAATCAAAGAGAAGCAGAAATTTTGAGTCTGTGAATAGCCATGCCGTCCAAAATTAAGAAAGTTTTATCTCTGACTTAATGAAGTTTTCAAATATAGAACAAACAATCCCTCCTGTAGCTCTAATATAAACCAGTTTAGTAAAATTCGAATATTTACAGTACGGTCAAAGGCAAGTTAATGTCAGAAGCTAATGCAATATCAGATTCTAACAGAAAATACCAGAAATCATGACAGAAAGTTGTTGTTTGTGAATGCCTGACTCAAATAGACATATATTTAGCAAGTAGAGACAAACATTGAATAGAAACATACCTCTTGGATGTCACCAACATAAATTCGATCACGGTAGGTTTGAATAGAGACAATTGTGTTGGGGAATAGCTTATTCTCACACTTCCTTAATAATCTTCTTTTTCCCAAATCATACAGTCTAAGAACAGGTCCTATTCCTGCAAGTAACCTTCCCTGAAACTGACTTAGAGCAAGAGGAACGCCTTCAACTTGAGTTTTGTGAAGTAGTTCAAGAGACCTTCCATCCTCTAGAAACCTATATATATGAATAAACCCAGCAGCTAAACTCCTTTTGGGCGTAAACTGCAGTCCCTTGGCTGTGCCAACAGCTAAAAGGGTTCCATATTCTTTATCATGAAAATTTACTGTGCATACACTGAATGCAGCCTCATTATCCTGAAGTTCCAAAAGACAGGTTGTATTTCCTGTCCTTGGATCAAGAACTCTGATGCAGGATGCCCACTTATATGATTCAGCTTTTGGATAACCATAATGCTCGTCAGAGAGGGGGTCATCTTTATCCTCATCCTCCCCACCATTCTCCATTTGGTCTGCACTTCCTGTCCCGTTTTCCCCAGCTTGAGCAGCCTCAAAACACTCTTTCCTTGCAGCTTCACGCACTTCTGCAGTAAATGCTCCTTGATCACTCTCAATCACCACCAAAAGTTTACGTTTGGGTTGCAGCACAAATTTTCTAGGTGTGTATCTAAGTGGGATAACTGTCTCATTAAAGGTTTCTCCTAATCTTTCAATGGTAAAAATTCTCAATGCCTCACCAGCAACAGCAACTACGCCTTCCACACATTGGTCAGATGAAAATGAGGCGGCAAATTCAAGGGTTTCATATGAAAGGGGCGTTAAGAGAAAGTGTCCTTGGTGAATATAACCAAGCCAAGGGCGACTTGAAAGGCAGAGCATAGCACGCTTGCCTCTAACGATAATGGGAAACAGTTTTGGGGCTCTCAATCCTAAGAATCGGGAGCGGGTATCAGAAAGCAGACCTGTGACCATATCCACCACAGTTCTAGACAAGACGCCATTCTGCAAACCAGCATTCAGGAAAAGACTAGCAGGATGATCTGCACCATCCTCACCACCGATAGAAGCTTGAACTTCAAGGAAAAGAAGAGATTCTGGAGCTGAAGAAAGACTCTGTATGCCTAGAGTCTGCATACAATCATCGGGATCCAGTGATAAAATTCGGATTGTCTTGTCATATGAGCCAACTGCAAGAAAACGGGATCTTTGTCTGCCTTCGGGCACTGGAGCAATGTCCAAACAAGCAACATCGCCAGACATTTCATGCTTCTCCACCTCCATCAACTGACCAGTTACATCCACTTCAAAATATATAAGCTCCCCTCCATTCAGAGCAATAACCACCTGAAGCCTATTTGACCCAACTTTTGCAATTGTCCTCTTCCCTGGTGTTCTCCATTCATTAATACGACCATCCTCCCTAATATGCCTAATACCATTTGGATGGACTTGCATGAGAGAATCATCACCTATCAAAGAAACAGAAAGGGAGGGGGTAGTGTCCAAAAACCCACTGTCACTGACTTCTTCGACTGTCTCACCAATGGAAAGCACAAGTGTGGCATTGGTGAATGACACGACAATATAAGCATCAAACTCATCAATAACATTCTTCTTCACAGTCCAAACAGCACTAGGTATACCAGGAAGCTTAGAAACTGCCATCTCACTGACAGCCAAGCCGGTCCTCAAGATCCTTAGAGAAGATCGTGGTCCACGCCCACAGAGAGTAAAAATTTGAGGAGTCTCCTCTTCAAACAGATTACTGACCTTCATATCCATAATTGACATCAAACTCTCAACCTGGTCAATTCTAACAAGATTTTTAAGTCTCCTGGGGTGGAAATACACGGGCTGAAAACCCTCATCAGTTTCCATCAATGTAGCAGACGAAGCCTCCACATCATCATCATCCCCTATTGCCTTAAACTGATACAGAGCATGATTTCCAAACTCGGAGGCCGCAAACAAGAACCCCGACTTGAGCACACACATGGAAGAAGTAACAGGAATGGTATCAAAATACTTAATCTTCAATTCAGAGATACGGTCTCCCTCATGTTCCAATGTTACCTTAAAGATATCCCCATACTCAGTCTGCAGAAGGAAGAAGAACATGTTCTTCAGTTTATGCATAGCAGCAGAGACAATGAGAACACCCCGGTCAGAAGGTAAATCAGCCCGTCTAGGGATCACAGCCCTAACATCCGGATGCCCCTGATTCTTATAAATAACAAAATTTTCAGCACAAACAAGAACCCCACTTGGACCATCAGCACCACCAGGAACAGTAACAAGCAAATTGGCACCATTATCAACCTGATCAGACCACTTTCTAGAAACATGGTTAAGACCTAAATCAAGCTCATAAAAGG